CAATAATAAATATATAACAACTACTAATAATATAATATACTATGCTATGCTAAAAATCTACTTTGTAACAATGTTAACTTTAATATGATTTCTTATTAATATCACTATTAACATAATTTAAAACCAATTCAAATAAGTTAAAATTAATGAGAATAACCTGTACTTTAAAATTTCTACTATGATATTAAATAAATAAATAAACATCTAATATAAAAAAATTTTTTATTAAAGCATCAAAAATAATTTCATATATAAAATTAAGCTATTGGTAATTTTTTAAAAAAAGTTCTTTATTTTTGTTACACAAAATTGGTTTAAATGTTACATCTGCTATAGAAAGATAATTTTTTTCGACGGATTCTGTTTTTATTTAATATATAGAAACATATATTACAGTACAACAATTTGTAAATATATTTTTTGTTCCACAACATAGTATCACTAAACTAATGATATCTTCTCATAGAGAAGAAAAAATGAAATAAAATAAGGTAAGTAGACTGTTAAGAGAATGAATTAACTAACAGGCAACTGTAAAATCAATTAATCACATTATTTCTAAAGACACTTTAATATTTAAACAAAATGTTTCCTTAATTCATTCTTTAAAGTCTGGTTGTCTTGAGCGAACTTTCTAATCCCTTCAGAAAGTTTTTCAGTGGCCATTGCGTCTTCGTTGAGGTCCCACCTAAATGATCTTTCGTCATAAGTAACCTTTGGTTCATTATCATCTTATATTACAAAAGAAAGATATATTTAAGTATTGATATTAGTAAAAGTTTCAACAATTAACGGTTCCAATCGATTGACTTTTAAAAACATACTCGGGGCAAGGCACAACTTTCTTTCAATCTTTTTATGATCGTTTTGCAATTCATTCAACAACGCGGGACTGATAGTTAAGAAATCACAGCCGGATAATTCTTCAATCTCACCAGTATTGCGAAAACTTGCGCCCATTACAATAGTTTTATATCCATGTTGTTTATAATATTTATAGATTCTAGTTACGGATTTTACACCAGGGTCACTTTTGGCATCATAATTTTGGCCAGTATTTTTTTTGTACCAGTCAAGAATTCGGCCAACGAAGGGGGAAATTAGAGTTATACCCGCTTCTGCGCATGCAACGGCCTGTATAAAATTAATTGAAAAAGGGAGTTATTTTGACGAGTTGAATAAAAATTTTATGAAAGATTTCTTTTCTAAAAAAATAAATATATACAGTCAAGACCTCTCTAAATACAACTTCCCTAAACGAATAAGCTATGGAATATGCCCTAAATTCATAGTTCTGCTTTGTCCCAATTAATGATACTTAGACTTTAGATGCAAGGTTGGCAATTTTTCATATCGTCTTTGACATTATATTTAGAGATGTTTGACTGTATATGTATATAAATAAATATATATTTATACCTGAGGAAAAGAAAAAAGTAGAGTCAGGTTACAATGAATCCCTTCTTTTTCAAGTCTTTCAGCAGCTTTAATTCCTTCCCAAGTTGAAGCAATCTTGATCAACACGCGAGACTTATCGATACCAACTTCCTCATAAAGTTTGATAAGATGTCTAGCTTTGTTGATTGTTGCCTCAGTATCGAACGAAAGTTTAGCATCTACTTCGGTAGAAACACGACCTGGAATGATGTTAAGAATTTTGGAGCCAAAATTGATCAACTATAATAAGGGCATTACAAATCATTACAGATTAGACAAATTTAATTTATCAATAGTTGTGAAAAATGTGAAAGAATTTACCAATTTATCAGCAGCCCAATCAACCTTTTCGTCGATAGTTCTAATAAAAAATAAAATAACATTAAAGGTAATTCTAATTAGAACCATAAATTATTCAAAGATATACCCTTCTTTGTTCTTTGCATATTTTACAGCAGAATCAATTAAATCATTATAAGTAGATTTTTTGGTGGCAGCCAAAATTAAAGAAGGATTGGTGGTTGCATCTTGGGGTTTATATTGAGCAATCGCTATTTAAAAATTACAAGTAGGTTAAAAGAAAAACAAACAATTCAATTACAATCAAAATTTATTGAATACACACACTCAAAATCACCCGTATCAGCAACAATGGTTGTCCATGTTTTTATTTGATCAAGAACTGAAGCCATGATCGATTTAAAAAATTAAAAAAAAAGTAAAAAAAGGTTAGAGAATAACGAGCATTCATCTCAATTTATATTTTTTGATTAGTAAGACGAGCATTGTACATCTATTCCTGTTTAATTGATGAGATAATCATTTTTTGCTCCAGTGTAATTTTTCTCTTAAACTCGTGCTTATGATGAGTAATAGTGAGGCTGCTAATATCGGATCGTACTTTGTTGTGTAGCAGCCTATTAAAGAAATTTTAAATATTTATATGTAAGTCGATAATTAGTGCTTAGCTTTAGTATACGTATTGCTTATGGAATTCCATTTTTAAACTGGATAGTGTCATTCATTGTTTCAGAAATTTCACTGATAGAACCCATAGAAATTTCGGTATAGCACATATTGATGAAAAAAACTATGTTAAAAAATGTTATTTAGTTTAAAATTTCTGGTTTGGCCATACAAAATTATCTCCGGGTAAATTTTGAAACTTATCATTATTATATATTTAACCGGGCGGATATTATACATCTACGAATAAAAGGTAGAAAAAAAATGAGAATTTTTCTGACCAAAGTAAGGGGGTAGCTTCTATTTGGATCTAATTTTACTATTAAAACATAATCTTTAAATTTATGGATCCAAAATCGAGAGGGTAGCTTTTATTCGGTATATGAGTTAAAAAATATATACTATATCGATATATGGGGGTGTGTCAATAGAAATCAAGCAAATTGTTTTATTGAAATTTTTTTGAAACTTTAAACAACAATAATTCAATAAAAACTTAATCAAATTTAATAAAAATTTTTTTAAATGAATTTTACAAATATGTAGCATTTATTTTAAAAAAATTTTATAAAATTTGATAAAGTTTTAGTTAAGTTATCATTGTTAAAGTTTCAAAAAAATTTACTTAGAAAAAATTTGCTTGATTTCTATTGACTCAACCCCATATAATACTAATGTTAAAAAATTCAATTAGAATGTTCAGCGGACAATCTGATGGGTGTCTTATCTAACTCAAATATATCTTAAATAGAGATGAGGCAATAATTTTAGATGAATAGAATAATAATAATAAAACTAGAATAGAATATAATTTTATCTATAGAACAAAAAAATTAACATTGATAATTACTTATCGTTATTTTTTATCCCAATACATGTTATTACTACGTAAGGCTATTTGTACCCAGTGGGTATATACCCAAGTATATACCCAAGTATAAGGAAAAAAAAAATCAAAAATCGGTAATACGTATCCCAAATTTTATTAGGAAAATTAGGAAAATTGATGTAGATGCCTTAAGTAAAAATACCCAGCACCTAATGTTACATATAAATGCTCCAATTCTAACTTACTCTAGCCTAACTATATCAAGGTCACATAATTCTTTTTACCTTTATGAAATTTATAATTTCAGCAAAAAAAACTGATCACACGCTTAAGCAGGCCGATATACTCTGATAATACCCAAATGGCTTTCAAAATTCGAGTTGTCCAGCCAATATTAGGGATGGGAAAAAAACTAGGTTAAACTTGGTTTAATAATAGATTATTTTATAAACAAGGTTTATGTTTTTAAAACCGCTTAAACTAGTTTTAATACAGTTTGTATATTAATTCTCCCGCGATCTTGATATAGTGATCGGGGATAGACAATGTAATTCTTTAAAAAGCATTTATATAGATATTTTTATAATTTAAGAATTAGAAGTTTATTACATGTATATATTTATAAAAAAAATAAATTTCTTTAGCTGTTAAAAAATATAATAGAAATAATTTCATACATTCAAAATAAAAATAAAAATTTGTTATACGTAGCATATATATAGATATAAAATTTACTATATATCGTCAAATTACTTAGAACATTTAGAAAAAGAAATGTTAACAGTTCTACAAGGCATAAGGTTGATTTTCAGAGTTGATTTCGACCATAACTGGAGAAGAAGACAAAACCTCTTCATTTTCTCGAGATGTATCCTTCGTCTTATTAGTCTCATTAATTTTTGAACTTGAAGCTTTACCATTTTCTTCTTGTTCTCTAAATAAAATATCAATAACCCGATTAATATTTCCGTGATACCGTCTTAACAAATCCTCATATTTTTCATTATTATCTGACGAAAACCCCATGGAATTTAAGGTCTTAATTTTTTCAGATAATTGTTCGGCAGAAAGTTGACGGTTGTGGCAGTTTCGGAAAGCAGTATAACCCCGACGACATTCCGAATTAGAAGCATTATTACAAGATTTTTTATCAGAACAATAGTTATTTGCTTTAGTAGATTGACTACATTTACTAAATGAACCAGAACATTGAGGACTAATAGACACAAAGCTAGTGTAGGGATAACCATAAAAGGGATTTTGATAAAAATTTGAAAAACTATTGTATCCAAAAGGACAAAGACCAAATCGAGGGCCATAATAACAGGAACGTCCCCGGGGATGGCGGATCAAGAAAATAATTCGAGTAAGATTATGTTCTTCGGCATCTTCAGAAGATTCTTTAGCTTTGGTACCTTCAGATGATTCTTTAGCTTTGGTACATTCAGAAGAGTCTTTAACTTTGGTATCTTCAGAAGATTCTTTGGTGGTTTCAGAATGTCCAGTGGTCTTTTTGTCATCATTAACGAAGAATTCATCTTCATCAGTTACTGTCACGTGACGATAATACGAAGGAGGTCGTGAATCAAGTTCCGAATTAGGACGAAATTCTGGTTCATGTATTTTTATTTCTGCATTATCATCTTTTTCGTTGTTAGTAGTTAACATGAGTTTAATAGCATTGCCGGCAGAGTGTTGTGAAAGAACTTCTTGAAGTTCTAAATCGCTAGAAATGGTAATCACATCTCCCTCATCGTCAGTGTAAGAGATGTTTAATGGAACATTTGGAATTTGGAAAAGATTTCTTAATTGTAATTCCAAATTGATCCAAGTAGAGTCGGGTGAAATGGTAAAGCGACGAGCTATAGAATTGTACATAACTTTAATCGTTGCCATTTTATAAAATATGTAGTAATATGTTGAATTTATATTTTCAAGATATGAAGATTTGTTGAATTGATAATTCAAGATTTGTTAATTGAATTGATAATTTCACAAAGAGGTTTTCATCCACTCCTTATATACATTTTCTTATCTACTTACGCAATCGATTAATAATCCAAAGAAAATGATTCTAGACAATCCTTGACTTCGGGCGAATTTAGCCGCAGGTAGCTGACGTATTATTAAGATAACGTAATATACTGCGTAATGTCGAAAACGTGACAATATTAATTTTATATATTGTCCTATATCTGTACATGGACAACTGGTCCGTACAGCCATTTCACCGACGTCATCTAGCGTGACAATTTACAAATTATATAAGCTAAAACTAGTCATGTGCTAAATTGTCACCCTAAGTGATGTCGGTTAAATTACTTGCCGGTGACATAACAGATAATAAGGGTTTGTTTACGTACGCACGTACGTACATAACAGATAACAAATTCTAGAACGCAAATCGAAAATGTGTACCAAACTCATACAGGGGATCCCCAAATTCCGGGTCGGAATACATCGGAATCATGATCGGCAGGGCCGGAATTAACTAATTTTGCCCAAGATCACTAAAAGTTTTACTAATGAAACCATAGCTCACTCATTAAGTAAAGCTGATAATTTTGGCCCAGAAATCTTTAACTTGTATTACTAAATGCTAACTAAATGCCGGGTTAAATCCGAAGTATTCCGACCCGGAATTTTGGGGATCCCCCTGTATGAGTTTGTGAACCAGGTTGTGCTCCGGATGATCATGTGATTGTCCGGAAATCAAACGATCATTAATGATATCGATTATTTAAATAAACAATACTAAATAGTAATTATCGTAAACGTAAAAGTGAATTATTTCCTTTATTAATTCACTTCATATTTCATTTATAGCTTGCTTCGTACAAAAAAAAACCCCCCAATAATAATGATATTAATAACGCAAACATATTCGTTCAACTTGTCTGATTTACCTATACCATTCTAAAATCAAAAAATTATACTGAACTTGAACTAATGAAAAAAAATAAATATTTGGTGAATTTATACCTAGATCTTTACTGCAAAGAAGGTGCTTTAAATTGGTTAAGCAAATTTACGAAAATATTAATGACTACTATGTAGCACGAAAAAAGTCGAATCTTTATTATCAGGAAACTGGCTGCTTATCTCTATTAACGAAATTCTGACCATAAAGGCTGAATCATTACGAAGTGAAGCAAAAATTCGAGTACAACAAATGAAGAAAATGTAAAATGTCAACTCGACTATAATGAAAAACATCAATGCAAGAAAACAAATTGACAATAATGTGAATTTTTTAAATGTCATGTGTTGTAATATTTGCATGAAGTACTTAACCAATGAAAAAAATATGTAAAATTAACTATGTGTTAAATAAAATTTCATATATTCATTCTGGACTATTATATGATCACCAGAGCAGTAATCTGGTACACATTTTTAGATTGCTAATAGAACAACTTCTGAAACAAGATGCTCACTCAAAGTACAAAAAGATTATTCAAAAATTTTGAAAAATTTTCAAAAAAATTTGAAACCTAGTTGTAATTCTATAAAGTTGATTAATTGATATGTAAACAAATCAAAGTAAACAATCATGTAAATTTATTAATCAAATAAGTAAACAAAGTAACATATATCTAATTAAGCAATAAGCATAAAATATAACTGACTAAATAAGGTATTAATAATAAGAACAAATATTGTCATTAATTAGTTAAATAATTAGAAGTTTTAGAAGCAAAATAGTATAAAAATTAGATAAACAACTAATATTAAAAATACTAATAACAAAAATTTAAAAATATTATATCTTAAATCACAAAACATAAGAAAAAAGTATACATATTTGACCAAATTGAAAGAATTTATTGTACAAATAAATATAGACATAGCAAAGTTTTTAGATACAAATAATCTATATATTATAAGAGTCTTAGTAGATAAGTATAGAGAGGTATACAAAAATCTTTCTAAGAAAAAGAATATAATAATAAAAGAAAGATTCTTAGTCAATTAAAAAAAAAAGTACATAAGAGTAACATACAAGATATAACATATTACAGTAAAAAAAAAATACAGATTATAGTAATAAGAATAGAGCTAGAGTTATCAATAATATAATTAGTAAGTCAAGAGATTTGCATAAAAAAAAAAAATATAGTAACAGAAAAAAATACTGAAGACACAGACAAGAAAAAAAAAATTAAATAACAGAGTAGTTAAAAATAAAAACCATTAAAGTAAAGACATAATAGAGTTAGAAGCACTTATAACACAACTAATAATCCAAGAAATTAATCTTAAATAAAAGTATTTAGAAAATGAAATAGAAGTAATTAAAAAAATATAATAGAACTAATAAATAAGCAGAAGTGCTTTTGAACAAAATAGAAAAGGAAAATTTTGAAAACAGATAAAAAATTAAGAATAAAAAATAAAATAGTATTGCTAATAACAGAATGTAGTATACACAATTTAGAAACAAAAGAGTCAAAGAAACTTATGTTTTTAAGATATAATAATAACTCAAATAAGGAGTTAACAATAAAAAAAAAAAAAAAAAGAACAAAAAGTAAAATTTAAAAAGACATTTACATATCAAGATAGTTATTGAATGATATAAATAATTCTATATAAGCTAATAAAAGTAAGTTAAAAAGCTTCATATAAAATAAACTATTAAGACAAAAGTAAGAACAAATTGAATATAAAAAGAATCAATAAATAATACTAATATTATGAAATTTACTAAAAGATATAAAATATAAAAGAGTTATAAGGTGTCTAAGTTTTTATAAAAAAGTAAGAATTTTTAAATAAAAAACTCTCAAAAAAACCAAAACAAAAATAGTACAAATTACTGAATAGAATCAGTAAAGACTAGACCCTCTAGTGTCAAGTTGGTTGATACATTTTGAAAAAGAAATAATGTGTAGAATTATACTAGAAAGATTTGACTTAGAGATGCTAAAAAAAAGAAAAAAATATAAGATAGTACTAAGAGATATTTCAAAATTAGTACTAGAATTAATATTGCTAAAACAACTAAGACTATTAGAAGTCAAAACAGTTTTTATACCTAACAATAGTAATGACAACAAAAAAAATATAGCTTTTGCTTATTTTGAATTTAAAAAAGGTTGCCAGAAAAAAAAAAGTGTTTTTTATTATTATAACAAGTTGTTTTAATATAAAAGGATACAGATATTATAAAAAGAAACAAAGATAAATAAATCAGATTAAAAAAATACAGAAGAATATTTTAATAAAAGACAAGAAAGAAGACTGAGCTTTTAACTTTAAATATAAGTAAACAAGATTATCTAAATCTAAAACAAGTAGAGTATAAAAAGAAAACAAAGAGAAAAAAAAAGAAACAATAAAAAGTACAAAGGAGAAATATTAATTATATAATGTATTATAGAACACCAAAACATAGTACAAGAAATACTTAAAAAGCTTAATAATCTAGATAATAGGCAGGTAAACTCTGTTTTTACTCCTAATAGGTATCTTAGTTGAATCAAAAAAACTTGGTATGAAAAAAGTAAATGCTTTAAAAATAGCAAAAAAGATTTTTATAACTAAAAATTAATATACAAAAAAGTATTACTAATAGAATCAATCAGAAAAAGCAACTTAGAGTTAAACATTATATATTATAATATTAATAGTATAAAAAGTAATAAATATAAAATAAAATTAGTATATAAATAAGTTTTGAACAATAAGATTAATATACTAGATTTGAAAGAAATAAATATTAATGTTTTTGTTTTTTTTTAAGTTAAAGTTTTTGCCTATAGGTATTGATGTTTTTATTTATATATTTGAACATAAGTGCCTCCAAGGGCTCCTTTACATTGAAGGTTACAACTAGCTACACATGCAATTATGGTATCTAATTTAACTTGTTTACTTATATATTACTATATAGGTTCTATACTAAGTGTTATATCTGCAAACCAATTACAGAGTTTGCCTATTTAAATTCTCTGCATATGTAGTTCATCATGCCTTATAGTAAAATCTTCAAGGCTACTCTTATTCAAAGTACCTAATGCTTTCGAGGCCTCTTAGGACTAGTTTATTCTCAACAAAAAACTTACTAGAACCTTATATATTTTACACAAAGCTGATCTAGTTTTATGTAACTTAATATAGTTGCCTAATACTTGCAGTCATAGAGGTTATTTGTTTAATTACTATATTATATTATTTTAATCTTTGTAAAGTTTATTAGAACCTCAGTATCTATCATCATAATATTTTCTCTATTATTTCCTACTAACTATTACTCAAAACTAACAGGACTCTTTCTACTTCCAATTTATATAGCCTGATGTAATATACTTATGTATTTTTATTCCTTTATCAATTTTGGCAGTTTGGTTGGCATATGCTCCTCTATACATCTTGTTATCTGGTTTATTTGTTTATTCCTTTGAGAGTATTTCATAGGCTTTCATCAGTCTGACTATATCATTAAAAGTTTATATTACCTTTTTACTTAGGAATTTCCAAGTTGGCTTCTGACTCTTTAGTTCCTTAGTTTACTATACTCAATGGTCTTATTATAGGTTTGTACTAAAGCCTTATATAATACTAGTTATACATTCCTTTATGTACATATAATGTTACACTTTATATAGATGCCCTAAGCTCTTATTCAAGATGTTGTAACTTAAAGTTACAGATACACCAATCCAACTGATCATCAAAAGACAGTTTGCTATAATATAGGTATAATTTTACAAATTTCATTGTAGGTGGGATTTGAATACTAGACCTGTTACTTGGAAGATAACAACCCAACTACTACACTATGATTGCCATTTCCTAAAAATAAATATTAATAAGAAAGAAGATTTTTTTATAATGAAAGATTTAAGCAAATATAAAGACTTTTGATTAGAAACAAGTTTATCAAAAAAGTA